CCGACAAAAGGAAGTGCTCTGCCGTTCCGCAGAAATAAGTCCCCCAGCATGCGCCTTATACAAGCATAAGATGAAAAAAAAACAGGAGATTTTTCGTTATATCAACTGGTCTGTTTGTAATTGTTAATTGTTATTCAAAATACAACATTAAATTTCAGCAGACGCTTATAATTTAATGCAGATACGAATTCCGGAATAGTCAGTTTTTTCTCGTCTAACCGACGCTGGTTTCTATTTTTCTTTACGATAAAAATAATGTTACAATGTTTTCTTTGTAGAAACGAAAGCAGCCAATTACCACATATTTAGACAGTTACATAGCAGTCTCCGCTGTTTTGCGCAATTCATCTAACGCTTTGTGTCTTTTTACACGTGCAGCCGGGGTTGCAAGACCGATATTATTCAACACAAACCAATATTTAATTGTAATAAATCGTGCGCTTTAAATTGCGTCAGCATTTGTAACGAGGCATAAAAATTTCCGATGGATTTTTCACATGTTCATTTTATTTTCCTGGAATAATAAAGTTGGATTTGCATTGTTCACTGTGTCTTTGAGTTCCTGGGGACAGGGTTTTGGTAAACCGAAGACACAAAACTACTCATCATTTGATCGTGAAAGTGCCAGAACTCGAGAAAAAACTCGTCACGTAATTTTCCACAACCAAATATTAGTGGTTGTAAAAGAGGGATGATTTTGATAGACAATAGTGCATACATTCCTCACATAAACTGGGAAACAATGTTCACATTTTGCCAAAATTATCAAGAATCAGCCCAGTATGTAAATTAAAAAAAAAGTACACCGAGTCTTATTATGGCATAGCCATTATTATGATTTCAGTTAATAAAGCTTAAGATTGTCATTTAAAATTTCAGGATCTGTTTTTTTTTTTTTTTTTGTTTTTGTTTTTAATTTCTAGTCTGACCTCAGCAAAATAATATTTGAATATTATTACACAGTAAAATAGAAACATGGAAATGTACACTGTGCACTCAATACAATCAGAATCTATAAATGTGCATTCTCGCAGTAGTCTTGTTTCACTGGGTCCATTTTGGGTGCCGTCCTCTTGTTTATAATCTCTTTGGTGGCATTATCCTACCCGCCATGCTATAACCCACAAAATGCTTTCTGAAGTAAACGTCCTTGCTTTTACATGCTTCGGGCATACACATTAATTTAAGTGTCAATTGCTTAGAATTAAAACGAACCCATCATTAGGATCACACCCGATTCTCACGGAGAAGCGAGGATATATAATTATCATCCACCTACAGCATGAATACCAAAATAACAATTAAACATTTTACTGAGCCAGATCAAGAAGTGCTCTGCGAGTTTCCTATTAACTCTTCGTTTTTCGCGCAGGCTCGATAAAAATTTTCTCTCCGGGTGGCACAGGTGTTTGGAAATAAAATGGCGGTGTTCTGTAGTGATTGCCATATTATAGTGTCACTACAAATAGAATTTGATGGGACCGTAATATCAAATCGCATTTCATATTCTTCTGTACTCTTCAATTATAAGTCGTGGTTGCTATCTCACAGACTTTATTGCCTTCACCCTGATATTTATTTTCCATGATGACTGCAAAACTACTGCCCACAATTACATTAAATTCCTAGACATTTTTAAATGTAACTTAAGTATGATGTTTAAAAAGTTGATAAACTGACAAACAGAGACAGAGTTATACAAGTATATACCAATGAAATCTGTTGAAACATTATTGATAAAGGTGAATTTACAGTGTATAACAGTTGTTGTCAATAATGAGGGATATCCCAGGAGACCTACCATGTGAAAATTCTACTATTTTTTCAATATTATTACAGTATGAGATAGCACACCTTGTATTGTAGAAATATTGTTGCCTGAAGAGTCTTATTAAGGTAATATGAAAATATATCAATAAAAAATACAGTAAGGTGTTGTGATTGATGTAACACTCACACTACCTTCCAAGATAAAATGATGTGTTGTTTTAAATACATGAACATAATTTCTTTTAAAAATGAAGAAAAAAATACCAATGACATAGGCATTATATGATTAATTATTAATTTAATACAAAAGGAATTAATTAAAAATAAAATGTAATTTTACAATTTATTGATGCAGTATGGATAATTTCAATTCCTTTGAACATTCACAATTCAAGTGTACATTTTATTCCAGAAAGCTATCGCTACATTACTTTTTCCCGTAAAAAATGATTTTTATTAAACATATTCGAAACCTAATTTTTTGGTATGCAGAACGAGATGTTCATTATTGATCAAGAATCTATAAATCTGATTTAAAAACGTTCAAAATCTCTGAGCCATTTACACCGAATTGGCGATTTTAACAGCTAATATCACTAAATCATGGACCAGTGAAAAACTAAACATGTGTCAGTACTTATAAATAATTATGTCTTGCTATGATAAAAACTCTAAAAGCCCACATAATTATTTTGTTTATTAAGCCTAGTTATTATTTATTTTCACTCGTATCCTTATCACACAATAGTGTGTAACAGTCCACATATAAAGTGCACAATACTGCACTAAATTTATAATATAATATTGTGCATGTGTATATATAAGCACGTGACTAAGCCTTTAGAATTACAAGCGATATACATATTAATCCACCTCTCAAATACTCTGATAAGTATAAAAAACAAAGCTCGAATTTTCTTTTCGTGCAACCTTCCTCAGAAACAATCATCAAATTTGCACCCGACGGACTTTTTTTTCACATAAAATGAAATTTATATTAAACTTTGCCAGGTGTTTATTGCGTTCCTGCTTCACTCCTGACATTAATATCAAAGTTTGAATTACAGTTTTCTGACTTGATAACAATTAATACGTAGCTAACTTGTCCCCTGAACCCACACTGAACGCACCTGTTTGTCACGCGACGTGTACCGCCATTGTTTATGCAGGTTACTTTGAGTTCCTTGACTACTAAGCGCAAATTATCTGCATGTAAAAATATCGTGTACGAAATGGATGAAGATTTAATTGGAGCCCTAAACTATTAATCTTACTGCTGATATCGTCAAATAATACTCAAATAAATGTTTAAAACTCGTAAAACTCACGCAAAGTTTGCTCGACAGCATTTCATAAAAAGTGACAATTATGCGTACGAGCTAATAAGTACCTGGCTTGGATAATGACAGAGAGCGGGCAGATATTTTGTATTTTATTCATATATATAAATATATGCATTTTAATCAAGATTGGTTTAAGTGTTTTATCTGATTACTTACACGAACTCAGTTAATCACTGACATCTGCAGTGACCTTACTATGATAAAAAGCCAGTCTCCAGGCCGAACAGTTATAGAAACATGAAAGGAAGTGAAATTCATTATCTAGGTAAAGATATTATTGCACAAAAAATAGATAATATGATATGTTTTCAGTTTCGGTGATCTTTGTTTTTGTTAAATTCAAATTCGAAAAACTTCCTGATTCTGTGTGATATGCCGCTTATTTAGATCGTCACAAAGTAATTCCCGCCAAAGCACGTGTGCGTTAATTTCCAAGTATCCTTTGACTGAAAAAGATTCTGCGTAAATTATATGCTGTGTCATAAGTGTTTCATTATATTATTGATGACTTTATATAAGAGCTAAAGGAAATATAATTTATGCTTTCATATCATCGAGTTTCCGATTTTTTTTTTTCGTATCTTGTGATTGGTTTAGTGTAATAGTTACATTTTGTATGTATTAAATATATCCTCTAAATACCCGGATGTTGTTATATAGAGATAATTTTATGATTTATCTGTCATATTTTTACTGATGTAGATTAACAAGTAAAATCAATGCTATCTTTAACGTTATATTTATTAAAACAGTTTCGGTATGACATCTCAATTTACATTAAGAAACTATATATAGTTTGAATTAATATTTCATTTAGATAGGTAATTTCGTACATGTTTAAGATGAAACTTGGATTTTAAAGCATCTTGTCATAGCAAGTAGCAAGATATACTTATGTATATTTATTTATAAAGCATCATGTGTAATGATGGAATTGTTTGTTTATTGTTAGATCATATGAAAAGAAAAACAAAAACAATCCTGTTGAACCATTTAAAAAGAAAAACAATCTTCGTCATTTTTTAATTGCTTCTTAATTTTATTTTAATTTTTTTAAATTTTTTTTTTCCGGTAGCAAATCTAATGTCTTCTATTTGTTCAAATATTACATTGATTTTTGCAGATAGATTTTATGTTTTCTTTTAAAAAGATATATATAAAATCTACAGATTACATCATACATGTACATCAGGAAAAAAACTGTTATGCGTTTTTGTTTATTTTTTGTTTTCGCTCATTATTAACCATTCATTTTACTTGTAGAACATCTAAATATTGAAATGCTTGTTCATAAAATTGAGTGGTATACGACATTGTTTGAAATGAATTTAAACTCCCTTGTCGTTAATCAACTTATATACTTTTATTATTATTATAAATGCCAAGTTCTGAGAAAACAATGTTCTGTAAGTATAGTTCTAGAAAAAAATATAGAAGATCTCATATCGTATCAGTTCTTAAGATCATGAGGCTCCATATGTAAAAATAAAGTATCAAAGTGTTGGAATATTTCTCTCTGAAATCAGAGTCCTGTCAATGTCGTATTAATGTCGTTTTCAGTTTTGCGAGTTGGAGGAAGAAAGGGCTACTGTCAATAAATATTTCTATTGTCATTGTGTACAGTATACAACCAACATTTGATGACGATATAATTTGGTAAACCCCTGTTATGGTTTTAGCCCCATGTATGGCTGAAATAGCGTGAGTTTATGGCATTATTGTAACACGACCACTGGAAAACTTTTCACTGTAACCACAATTATGATGTTCTTCTGTCTTCCTTACTCCCACATAAATACCTCTTAAGGGGGACCAACCCAAAATTGGCGTGTTCAGAGTCACCCAACGGACAGGTGATGTAATTGTAGATGGAATCAAAATAATGTCAAAAGAATTTTATTTGTTAACAGTATAAATATGTATATATGCCGAGTTTAACCCACATGAAATTCTAAATTTACAACATTTTGTTTTATCATCGTGCAAACATGTATATACTGGTGTGATTTTAATAAAAAATATCAAAAGTAAAAGTGAATAATAAAAAATAAAACAAACATTTTGCAATTGTTAACAGATACACGTGTTTAAATATAGCAGAAGGCATTCTCTAAGACCTGTAGTTTCAGTCATTTTGTGTACTCTCAATTCTCAGTCGGAGCTGACATCTATTTCCTCATCCGATGTTTCAGCAGACGACAGGTCTGCAGCAAAAGAATGGCTCACAACCAAAGAGCTCTCGTCTGCAGACGACCTACTTTCACAATCTAAGCCACACTGTCGAGAATGAACCTTTCTATGTCGCTCCAAATTACTTTTGTGACTGGTAGCATAGTCACACAAATGACAACGGAAGTCCTTTTTCCCATTGTGAACAGATAGGTGTCGTTTTAACAAGGCTTTTCTACAAAATCTTCTTCCACAATATAAACATACGTAACCATGGGAATGGAAGATCATGGAGTGTTCACGCAAGGACGCCTTTGTTCCAAAAACTATTCCGCAACATTCGAGAACTTTAGAGGATTGTTGATGCATCGTAAGTAAATGTCTCTTAAGGTTGTTCCTTCTATCAGTTGTGTATCTACACTGAGGACACGGAAACAGTTTTCTTCCAGCTATTACCGTGTTTTGTAGATCAACTAGGTTTGATTGAGATGAATGCAAACTCTGAAGGGGTTCCGAGGGTAATGGACGACTAGGATATGACGATTTTTGATCAACTAGTGACGTTGCAGCTGCAGTCGTAGCAACGAATGAAAGCGAAGCTTGGAGAAATTTCCAGTGTTGTTTATAGTAGTTGATGATGTCAGTAGTGCTCTGGTGAAAGTAGTGAGCTAACACAGGCTTACATGGTGAACTCTGTCCACTTTCTGATTTCCATGGTTGGAATAGTTTGGTTTCTTTTTGGTTAGGTTTGGCACCACTCTGTGTCTGTATTACATATGGATTGAAGCTGTAGGTCGGGATTGGCCTAAAAATAGTCACGGAACCATACATATTAAATGGAGATGTTATTCAGTGAATATTTCTTTGGATAAAGATAAAAAAGGAAAATAAATTATGATAAATGAAGTATTTAAAATACGATCATTTGATTGTATTCAAATGTGCACGGGGATTACAATTTTTTCACACCTGGTATATTTCAATGAAATTAATGGTTAACGCCGACAATTTAAATAAAACCAGTAAACAATTATTAAAATACCAAGTACATCGATTTTGTGATTTTAATATGCATTTCATTCAGTATATATCATTGAGCTTTTATAGTAATTGTACTCCATGAAAAAAGTATGCAAGTTCTGAAATAGGAAATAAATAGAAAGGGACGCGTCATTTAAACGTCATAATAAACAATAACCACGAGAAGAAATAAACCAGTTTATTACATTTTCAACAGTAAATACTGTGATTTATTTATTGAATAAAAGTGATATTCTCTCACAGGGTGAAAGGATACCAAAAATGATATTCTCTCACAGTGTGAAAGGATATCAAAGTAAGTAAAAAATAATTTCTGGCCTGTCATAAGATAGAGATAGTAACTAAGCATCTTGATAGAGCTAAAACTGCAAATTTCTTCCTAAATGTTGCTAAAATCCATGCTATGTAATGTTTTCAATCTGACACACAACTTCTAAGCTATGACGTCTCAACCGCTCAACTATGACGTCAAGCCTATGACACTGTTTTAAGAAAAGACAGAGGCAAAGGGAAAATCAAAGAAAATGTAATAAACAGAAAATTCAATGTTTTGTAGATGAATATGGAATTTATTTCACTCGTGATACAGGATTTTTTGATATTTTCACTCGTGCTTCGCACTCGTGAAAATATCAAAAATCCTGTCCCACTCGTGAAATAAATTTGATATTCATCTACAAAACATTGAATATCCTCTATTTATCCACGACGAAAAAAAGGGATATATTTATTAAGGACATAAATCAGTAATAAATACCAAATAAACACCATAACACAAATCGATATAGACATCGAAGTGAAGTTTTACAAGGTGATGATGTCAGATTTTCGAGTGTTCATTATTTTCTCAAATTTTAGTGAAAATGAAGCATAATCGATAAAAAGCACTCAAAACGAGAAGCAATAAAACTTCTCTTCTAAGTTGGTTGGTATTTTATGACAAAACCCATATAAACATCACATTTTCCGCCCCATTACAGAGGAAAACTCTCGTGGGTAATGATGAAATAATACGAGTCTTCTGTTACGGAGTATAGTAGGGAGAGGCTGCCTCTATAGTAAGACTCGGTAAAACACTGACGTATCTAATTGGCTTGTTGTTACTAATGGCCGCTGATGATGCTTGTCAATTTGTCGAAATCTGTGTTCAATGGACCGTAAAATAAACAACCCAATTTATAAAAGATATATCGAGGAATGATCATAATAATAGTAATATATTTTCAGTCAGGCGATAAAAATGGATACATATTTTGGTTGAGCATCGATAAATATTCTCATATGTAAGTAATATGGAACCGGTGTTTATCACTCCTACATGTATCTTCATGTGTAAGATGGCAATTACTGAAAAAAAGAAAGAATATTTTCACGAACGAAAGCCCATTGTAATACCTTTTTTTTGTGAAGTCTACTGAGAAATATTATTTTGAAAATAGACAAATTTATTTGCGTTTTCATGGTAGGAAAAAAGAGTTCTTTTATTATACATAAAACTACATGTATATGTATGTATTAAGAGGGAGAGGTACCACACCTGTCATAATGATTTTACAATTGTTAAACTTTGTCTCTTCTAAAATTTATTACTTCATATTTCTCTCTCTGTATCTAACACTATAATCAGAAGCATATTTCACACATAAAAAAAATTATAATTAAAATTATAAACATGATATTTTTATATATTTTCGGTATTTCATGTGTAAATAAATTAACTCCACAATGACGAGCCTTTCGTTTAGAAGGGCTCTGTATATAACTTTTACAATAAATTTCTTTTATGGGACCTATAATACATTTACTGTAATCTGCGAGTGGTCAGTCAAAAAATATATATCATGCACAAAAATATATGAACGTATTTAATAAAATATATTTGGCACACATTTTAAAAATTACACAGGTTCCTCTGCTTGAGTTGTGGTTTAAAACACTGATCTTATCAACAGTAAAGGTTAGATTTCATACAGATAATCTTTACCAGTAACCATTTTCACAGCTTAGGGTGACATCAACCATTTTGTTGTAAATTTGCAGGTTAATATTTCAACCAATATTTTACTGCACATGTCAGGTGACGACAATTATTTTGAAAAGACGAAAATGCATATGGAAAAAAATGGTAAAGGGTCTGTATTTAAATAATAATAATTCAATTCAATTCAAAATGAAATGATGATAATAACAAAAATGAATAAATAAAGTGAAATAATAAAAAAAAAGGACATCAAAAGCATAAATTTAAAGTAATTAGAAACAATATATAACCGGACTTGATTTTAGTGAAAACATTCTCTATCCGAATTATTTTAAAATCTTTTTAATAAAAATTTAACGGGAAAAAAAATGTAAAAAAAAAAAAAAAATTAATTACTTTTTCTAAAGTTACAATCTTCTTACAAGTTTCACTTTCCAAATGAAATATACAGCTTTGTTTGTAGACGTTTAAATACGTTAGAAGACTTCATTAGAAATAAAAGAAAGAAAATTTAGACAAAATTACAATGAATGTTTGATTAATGGCCATATTAAAATAAAATAAAGTAATCATTTTAAATACTAAATTTCAATTACGCATCTTCAATGTAAATAAGAATAAATCAATTGTTATGAAAATGCCCCGTAGATTCACGCTTTCTTGAATGACGACTTATTAAATAAAATCATAGCGTATCATACACAAAGCCTAATTTTTACATACGTCTTTAGTGGAAAATATTTTATCAGTGGTCACTTTTGCGAATAGTAGCTCTTTTTTTTTTGTTTTAAACTGAAATTGCAATAGGACTGCTTATTAACATTATTCCAATAATTATCGCATCAAGAAGCTGCAAACTGTCCCAGAGAAAACTCCCTGCTCAAAATAGTTCAGATTTCATGCAAACTTTAAGCTAAGAATGCCAAATTCTTGAAAAAAGTTTGCAATTTCTCGAAAACTCACGCAGATCCCTAGTATTTTAGTGACAATGATTGTAAACAATTAAATTAAGGTTATCTAGCAGAACTCTTACCGTAGAGGTGGTATATTCCGAACGCCCGGGATTTCCATGGCAACAGTCTTAACATACAAAATGAAGATATTTTGTCTTTGATCTCAGTCTGATTATCTAATCTCCTTCACTTATGTATTATCTCTCTGTCGATTGTCAATTTTTGCATTACGGGACACTAAAATTGGATATAGAAATATTTTGAAACCATCATCCAATCAGAATGGGTTTTGTAATGTATGCGATGAGACAAGTTCCGGATGAGAGATTCTGAAATGAAATGGGCGTCTTCTTTAGGCGAAGCATTTCACGTCCCAGTAGATTCATGACTAAACAACATTATTTTTAGGCTTTATCCACTTGTCCGGGATTTGAGGGAAAATTGTTAATCTGATTTTTAATAATTACAGGGAAAAATCTGATGTTGGGATAACACGGATTCTCCAAGTACGCTTGGATGTTGACCTGTTCAGGGTGGTCCTTAACAATGTTCGTGTATCTGTACAGCTTAATTTAGAAAGGTGAAATTCCACCTTTGTGTTGTTTTCTGAGCAACTATTTTAGTATATTTTTTCTGTACTCAGTGTTTTTCTGTGTTTAACTTTTCAAGAAATGCATGTATTTGCAAAAGCATTTTATTGATTGTTTATCATAAAAAAAAATAATTAGATTTTCTGATAGCTTTGAAATCTAATATTTTGTAGTATTTTACAAACACAAAACTTTTCAATACACATTGAAGTTATCAAATTTTATAACAATTCGAGATAAAAAGAAAAATACACAAGCTTCTAAAATAAAAAGAGTCATCAGAATAATAAAAAGTCATTATCATAATAATTATAAAAGGAGTCATATTACTTAATAACAGAAGTTATATACGTTATTAAAAATCTTTGAATTCCAAGTATCTATGATGAGTACAATGTCAATACTCAATAACATAACAGTGTTTGTATTAGGCAAAGATGGTCACTGCACTAATCTGAAGAACAATTTAAAAAAAACATAGCCAACCAATTTAAAAAAAATATCAGTAAACTTAGTATAGAGTATGAAACTAGTATCCTTAATCCAAACCAATGAATCTGTATTTTGATAGATATTGGACACAATCAAGGAAGATATTACTTGATATTTTTAGCAACAACCATTATAAAAATGCATCTGTACACTATAGTATATAACAATAGATATTAAGCGAGGTCAAGAAGGAAATTGCAAAACTGTAGGTAAATGTTCTGTAATGAAAAATACAAATAAGGAATGTAGTAGTTACATTATATTAAGCTACATACTGCCTCTCCATATCTTGGCTTTTATATGTGTCACAGAAGCCTGTAAGAATGTTTTTCATTGTCTAACAGTGAAGATTTTCATAATATTTTATATAATAAATAGAAGGTATATGTAATTGTTATCAAGTATTATAAATCTGTGTGATAATATCGAAAGAAATTGCGGGTAAAATACCATGCACATTGAATGATCTTCTAAATGCATGTTTAAATATATCAGTAGTTATAAGAAAAAAATTATTCTCTCATAAAAGAGTTTGGAACAATGAATACTGGAAACAAAATTATTTTTTCTGTTGAATGAAATATGAGAATAACACACATCAAGCTCGGAAATCCATTGGAACAATTCAAATTTGGAGCAGAACAAACACGGTCCCCCTAAAAACATCAGAGGTGGGATCAGGTGCTATAGAGGAGTAAGCATTCCCTGTCAACCGGTCACACCCGTCTTGTGCTCCTTGTCATATTTGAAAATCCGTTGACAATCTGATTTATGTTTCAAAATTAGAATTTTTTTTATGTTAGACCATTCAAAATCACGCTGTTTTGTCAAGAAAATCGGATAGACTATTGTTAAATAGAACATTACAATGGAATTGCATTTTAATCCTATATATGTATATATGAACTATTTTCGTTCAATCCATGGAGAAACGATCCATTTTACATCTTTCTTTTTGTAACCATAATTTTACCAACCAACGTTTAATCTAATAACTTATTTTTGATAAAAAAAAAAATCGATCAAATACTTATCTTACAAACTGACTGATAGTTTTGTACAGATTACCATAAAACAATAGAAAAGGTTGCCATTAGCATATAGAACTAGTTCTCCACTAAATAAAAGATATAATAATAGTATCATAGCAAAATAAAAACTAACATATATAGGCAAATATAAGTATAGATAAAACTATCTGTAAGTCAACGTAAATATTAATAAAAGATATCCACCAGTTAATGTAAAAATAAAGTAACATATCTTCAAGTCAAAGTAAAGATAAATAAAAGTAAAATCTTCAAAATAAAAACAATGTAAACATACATAAAAATAACATACACAACTAGACGTAAATAAAAACAACGTAAACATACATAAAAGTAACATACACAACTAGACGTAAATGAAAACACATCTGTAAGAAAATGCAAGCATAAATAAAAGTAACAAAAATCAAAGTTAAATCTAAGAACTATATCTAAAGATTAAATTCAAGTAAAAGTCACATATCTCTAAGTTATATTAAGCATAAATAAAAGTAACATAGGTATAGATAAATAATAAACAACTTTTACATTCTTAAAGTAAATGCATCAATATTGATACCGTATAAGATTTTTTTTTTTTTTTTTTTTTTTTTTTTTTTTTTTTTGGATAGAAGTAACATCTATGAAAAAGTAAAATTTCAATAAGAAGGTCTAAGCATTGGTAAAAGAAACATATCTTAAGTAAAATTTAACATTATTATAAAAATTATAAACATAAATAAATAATGGTGATATGACTTTAGCTAAAGGTAAAAATAAATAAAAGAAACATATATATCGGAAAATAAATAAAAGTAACTTACCTAGAAGTCAATAGAATGAAATGTGTGGAGATAACGAACAGTATTCGAGCTCAAAAGTCCATTAAACATTATAAAATAGGAGTAGAGCAAACACGGACCTCTAAAACATCAGAGGTGGGATCAGGTACCATGGAGGAGTGAGCATCCCCTGCCGACAGGTCACACCCGCCGTGTGCTCCTTGTCATGATCGGGAAATAACGGAAAAATCCGTCGACAATTCAGTGTGTAAATAATGGCATAACGATTAGTATGAAAAAAGTCAGAACCAAAAATAAAAATAACATATCAATAAGCAAATATGACTAATTAATATGAAAACAAAATTAAAAGGTACGTAGGTATAATTAACAAGAATAAAAATAATTATATAAATTAATCTATAGTGAATATAAACAAATGTAAAGACGACAAATTTTATAAGTAGAAGCACACACAACTATATAACATGTTATATATTATTTTGTGTGTACTTTTACTTATATTTGTTTTCAACATATATTAGCATCAATGTTTTTGTCAAAAAGTTTCTTTTAACTCCGTGCCTAAACGGAATTAACCGTCGGCTTTTAATAATTTTTGGTTAGTATGTTTGTTAAATTTCTGTCATGTTTGTTTGTTTTTATTTGATGAACGCAGCGAACAATTCCTAAAATTTCTTACAAACTGTGATATGAAAGAAGAAAAAATCGACCAAAAAAAAATCTTGGTTTCCTACAAAACATTACTACTTCAGGATTTGGTATAATCATATCACAGTTGTCTGTGATTAAAGCTGTCAAGATTTTAAAGTTTATGACTTCAATTAAAAAATTTATGAATTAAATCTCTCGAGTGATATATGCAGAAAGAGCGCAGCCCATGATCCCACAAAATGTGTCATCGGCATATTTTATGATTATCAAGTATTCTGTGACATTTTTCATTTATTTCTTATATCACATCTTCAATTTCATCCCCAAAGCCATCAAAAGTATATAAAATTCAAATAAAGAGGAGCAGAATTGAATTTCTTGGAGAAGTTTACGGTTCAAATCTACCCTGCCATATCGCAATGATCTCATCAAACAATAGGAAAATTAAGGAACTTCATCGCAGTTGACATTTTGATGGCAACAGACTTGGTTTCACCTCGCTCCAAAGTTCCCATCCAGACATTAAACAGGAATTTACCTTTCAGTTTTATTGACATGAAGGACTTAAAATCAAACCTCCAGAATGTCTTGGGTATCAAACTTGACCTGAGCGTAAAGGGTACCTCATAAATCTGGCTACCACCGCAATATACGATGTGCCATACAACTAGAGTTCTGTCCTATTACTCAACATCTTCGGCTTTCTCGTGTTATTTTATATACTTTTAATAAAAAATAAAAATTCACGTAATACATTAATTCTATTTCTTAAGTCTTTCTTCCCTTTGCAATCGTAACAACAATTTTCATTACTCTTTTTTCAATATCAATTGCAGCTTACACATGTAGATGCAGTTAAACAAAAAAAAAATTCATCACAATCTTATAATAACTTTAAACATTATCATACACAATTTCAAGAGAGCTTGAAAAAAGAATATTTTTCTTTTTTTTATCAAAAATAGCCTGTGGACTTAGGCCTATAATAAGATATTTGAAAATATTGTTTATCAGATTGGCCGATAAAGATAACAGATATAAGATTAACAATCTTATAATAACTTTAAACATTGTCATACACAATTTTAATTAAGAAAGCCTCAAAAAAAGAATATGTTTTGTTTTTATCAAGAACATCCTATGGACTTAGGCTTATAATAAGATATTTGAAAATATTGTTTATCAGATTGGCCGATAAAGATATTATTATGCACACTACACTGTACTCTTACACATGCAATCTTTTAGTTTCAGCATATCACAAACATGCTCGAGAAGGAATATCTGTGTTCGCTTGTATTAGGAGATATTGATCGGTAGGATTATGCAATATATTTCTAATAAATAGTCTCATTTAAAGGGGTTTTTGAGTGTATTAAAGGAAGCAACATATACCTCGTATGCAAAAAATGACTTTAAAGACAATGACCTGAGCAATGTTATATATGTAGTTTATGTTGGACTCTATGAAGTCAACGAGAGAGAGATCGAGGGAGCAATCTTGTTAAAATAACTTGGGAAAAAATCAAATGATATTTTATGTGAAGAAATACATTTGATAGAGATGTATTTTGTGTCCAAGTTTGATGTTTAGAATACCACACAACGACAAGAATTTACAATGGTGACCAACAAGTTAGATGACGACAATGTCGATGAAAAAGACAATGGAAAATGTAATTATTAATGAAGAAACGAATGTAAAAAATGAATAGAAAAAAAGGTCCGGTCAAGTCATACTTTGCTGAACCAACGTTAGAAAAGGATACTTAATATTGCTATTTAAGAAAAAATAAACCTGTCTTATGTGAGGGGATTGATTGTTGGGAATAGCTTGGTTCGATCATATTGTTTGCTCTTATT